TATTTAAAAGAAATATTCTGAAAGGAAACGTACCTTTAATTGAAATCATTTGTAAAGATTTTCACGCTAGTAGATTTTACATCCAAAAAAAAATATATAATTTCGTGATCATTGATTGTATCCTGAGGAGCCTGGGTGCTTAACTAGAAGCTCAAAAACATGTTTGTAGATTCTTTAGAGTAAAATTACAATGGAAACTATTTGTAGTGTAAGCGAATTTCTGGATCAAAGTTCTACTCATCGTCTTGTTAATGCCTTTGTAACTTCCCACCTTGATTACTGTAATGGACTATTAATCAATCTCCCTAGCTCTCATTTAGCCCCTCTTCAACATATTCAGAACACAACAGCTAGCCTCATCACGCGTACAAGAAAACATGAACACATCACACCGATCATTCGTTCTCTACACTGGCTCCCCCTCCAACAACGTATCAAATTTAAGATTCTCATGCTGACATACAAGGCCTTTCACAAACTTGCTCCCTCATATCTCTCGGCACTCATCTCTCCTAAAACCCGTACTTCATCTATGCGTCTCCGATCTTCATCCACAGCACATCTTCATCTGGCCCCAGGCCCTCGCACCCACACCTGCTATGGGAAACGAGCCTTTTCTGTCTGTGCCCCCCAACTTTGGAACAATCTTCCCCATGAAATACGCGAGTCCCCAATGTTAGAAACATTCAAGAGTAAACTTAAGACTTAAGACTTATATGTTCAATATGTAATGTAATGTAATCATATTTTGTTTGTTAAACTATAAAGCGTTATGTAAATATTAACTATTATTATTGTATGATTATTATTAGGAATTTGTTATTATAATTATGTATCATGTATTATATTGTTGTAATTTGTAGGTTAACATTACTTTAATTTTATTTTTGTTAAGCGCTTAGAAACTTTGTATTAAGCGCTATATAAATGTTATATATTATATTATTATTATTTCTAAGTTTGGGTATTACTTTGTTCTACTTCGATACAAACATTCCTCGCCAAAATAATATACGAGCAAACTCAGACAGACATAATTATAACTGCAGTGAAAAAAAGGGAAACGATATTTTGGCTTCTGGTTATGACACTTTACCTGATATTCAGGTCCACCATCCTTTACAAGCATGATTTCAGATATATATATATCAGTTTATCATAATGTAATTCAGGAAATAAGTGAAACCCAAAAATGTAAATACCGAAATACATTTACGCATTTAGCTATAATTATGGTATGCTATAATTGTATCTAAGAGGGCTTCACCTTATGAATGACGTGGTCTGATTGACCACGTTGACGAGTAAGAGGGATTATTTGAATATTCTTTGAAATTGTAAAAGCCATGAAATAGCTATATCATTATGACCACCTGATTATGACATCATGTAGAAAGGAGTCCTAAGGAGGCTCTCTATGTTAAGTTGAAGACAAAATCATCCCCTGACATTAAATTTGACGATTCTACAAATTAAACCTTGAACGCAACCTAACGAATTTTCTTCTCTAAATTAAAAACGTTGTGTTATGGAACTGAGTGTGTCTGTAGTAGTTTATATTTTATTTAAACGATATGTGTTTACTCATGGACCCTGGATTTCTTAACACACAGAGAGGGCGAGAGAGAGAGAGAGAGAGAGAGAAAAGACTAGGGTGATTGCCGTAAAACCACACAAATCTAGGCAAATAAGATATTTCATACGGCTGGGCTTGTTTTCAAGGGTGAAAGAAGAAAGAAACATTCTGAAAGGAAACGTACCTTGATCGAAATCAATTGTAATGATGTTCACGCTAGTAGGTTGACATTTTTTGTTAAATCATTTTATGATCACTGATTGTATCCTGAGGAGCGTGGGTGCTTAGCTAGAAGCTCCCCCCCCCAAAAAAAGGGGGGGGGGGGGTAGTGAGCACAATTTTTTTTATTTGTACCCGGAAATTTGAAAATCGCGCCGACCGATATTTCGCTCAGTTGGGGGGGGGGGGGGGGGGAGGGGTAGGAGCACTTTTTTCCCCTTTAGTAAAACAAAATTACTCTTAAATAAGATGCCAACGGCATTCAAACTATATAACATATTTATATACCCTAACCTTTAGGTCAATTTCGTCCCGCTAAGTCGATGATGTTATGAATTTATATATTTTTGTGTAAAAAACAAGGAAATGTGTTTCTTTCGAAACATCCTATTATATCAAAATCACTCAATGAATAAACACATTAATCTATTGGCTTGGTTCAAGTCTGCGTACCCAGGCCAAAAACAGTTGAAACCAACTGGTATCAACTAGAATCAACTGGTACAAGTTGAATCCATTTGAAGGAACTGGTATATATGCCAGTTTATTCTACTCACTGGATTCAACTGGTACCAGTTGAAACCAGTTGACACAACTGGTAAACTTCACACGCACCAGTATATCTCAGTTAAAACCCATTGATTCTATTGGCACATGCTGAAAACAAACCAGTCGATTCCCGTTGAAACCAATTAACCGTACTGGTATTAAATTGTTACACCAGTTGATACCAGTTAAAAACAATAGGCCTTACTGGTAAATCTACCAGTTGATTCCAGTTTTAAAACCCATGAAACCAAAGTGGACCATTTGAGACCAATTGTTTCCAAATGGAACATATTGAAACCCAGATGAGTGTAGTTTACCAGACGATTCCATATGAATGCCATTAACCATACTGGTATATCATTGGACCAGTTGATACCAGTTAAAATGAATGGGCCTTACTGGTAAACATACTAGTTCATTCCAGTTGCAACACAGTGGCCAAACTGGACCATTTGAAACCAGTTGATTCCAGTTGGAAACCAGTAGATGATTACCAGTTGATTTACCAGTTGAAAACCGGTATGATTACCAGTTGTTACCAGTTGAAAACCAGTAGATAATTACCAGTTAATTTACAAGTTGAAAACCAGTAAATGATTACTAGTTGGAAAGAGAGAAGAGGAAGAAGAAAAGAAAAGGGGAGAAAAGAAATAGATCGAGGGGGGGGGGGGGGTGGCGGCCGAAAGGGCCTTGCCTCCCAGGCTACTACCCCCCTCCCCCATCAAAAAAAGAATAAGAAAGAAGAAAGAAAAGGGAAAGAAAAAAGGAAAAAGGGAGATAAAAGGAAGGGAAAAAAGAGGAAGAAGAAAACAAAAGAAGGGGAATATCATTTTCAATTTTCCCGCCAACAAGTTGTGAATCGAGGGGGTCCGAAAGGCCCTTGCCTCCCCCCCCTGAAACATAAATGAGAGAGAAGGAAAAGAAGGGAAAGGGAAAGAGTAGTGAGAAAGGGAAAGGAAAAAAAAAGAGGAAGAAGAAGAAAAGAAAAGAAGGGGGAAATCAGTTGCGACTTTTTCCCGCCAACAAGGTGTAGTTCGGGGGGGGGGGGCACTGGCGTAATGAAGGGGGAGGGGAGGGGACTTGGGGGCAGTGCCCCCCCCCCCCCCCCCCTTGGCAAGATATTGATCTACATTTGCCACAGTCCACCAAGGTGAAGTAAATAGTAGGAATTTATTCCTTGAAACGCAGAGCGCGGTACAGCTGCAATTATGCGGCATTAATGTAGAGCGCTTAGAGACTTCCAATAAAGTAAGTTATAGGCGCTATATTATCAGCAATAATAATTATGTTCATTATATTAATTCAAAAGTGGTTTATTTCTAATTCGATACCGGTGATTTACAAATTTTGCTAAAGTGACATAATTTTCCGAGATTTTTCCTCACTTGTTAGTAAACTATACTTTTAATGCGTTTGTTGCAAAATGACAAATTCCTAAATTTATAGTCAGGCAAGAAATATGCTTATCTAGAGGCCAATATGGCAGGGCCCGCGGAACGGCGGGGCTCGAGGGCCTCGAGCTCACCCCCCCCCCAACTTTTTCTGAAAAAGTATATTACAGAGAAATAGAAAGAAAGACAGAGAGAAAAAAAGAATAGTGAAATTGCCAGTGTCAAAAAATAAAAATGATTTCCATAATCACCTCAACTAAGTTCAGGGTAAAATCTATTCTATTCTTTTTTTAAGGATATAGTCTAAGAAAAAACCTACACCGTTAAACCGAGTGCCACCACCATCCAGCAAGGCACCATGATAGTAAACTTCTTTTGTGTATCTTTAAACCGAGATTTCCTTGGTTTCTTGATTTAGGAAAATATCAATTTGATATTGTTAAGTTGTTCGATAACGTCACTCAGACTTTTTTGATGCGAGAAATATTTCATTGATGAAACGGTATAAAGACAGGCGCTTAGCCAGGGGGCGATTGGGGTGGTCGCCCCCCCCCCCCCAACAAAAAAAAGCTCCAGGGACTCGGATCCACTTACACTTTTTACTCTGAAAAAACATTTCCTAACTTCCAAAATTGTATCCACCAAAGCGCGAGTTTAATGGATGTGTATGCATCTACATAAAAGACACCTAGGCCCAAATTTCCACCACAAAATTTTAAGTTTAACCCAATCACTTGAGGTTACGATGCGCGTATGTGTTTTCTTTGATTGTGCTCATTCGTAATGCGCGCTTAATTACGCCTGTTTTAGTGCGCTTTTGGATAATCTTCAGTGAAAGTGCGTTGCCCTGTGTAGATAGTACCTCTATATTCAGTGAAAGTGCGTTTCACTGTTCAGATAGTAGTACTATCTACACAGTGTAACGAACTTTTTGCTTATCCTATCAATAATGGGCGAACTATCTTTCATCACGTGATTTACTTTTGACCAATCGTAGAGCAAGATTCTTAGTATGTGGAATATAATATTTATCATAAGATAGTAAGAGTTTCTTGTTTGCTCTAGATGTCTGATGTGGTTAACAATAGTAATATTGACTGCCTAATTCAGGGCAATACGACTTGACATATATCACCCTCACCTTCGGTTTGGGCGATATATGTCGTATTGCCCTGAAGGCAGACAATATTAATGAAATATATATGTACAATATAAAAATGGAATGAAAAAAAAGATCTGGCATTTTTTCTTCATTTACCATTCAGATTGAAACTACCATGGAGGGCTACATCTTTCAAAACTGGGCCGAGACATTCTCCTGTAAGCCTGAGCTCTACTTTGAACCACAGGACACAGCAGAACTTACCCAGGTCAGTTTATCCACTAAAACAAAGGAAATAAAAAGTAATAAAGCATATCAAGCTTTATGCTTTCACTGTCACCCTCCTAAGGAGCAGACTATGCAACATATCCAAGGGAGTGTTTCACAAAGACTAAGATCGACTGTAAGTTGGACTTAACTATGGCAGGCCGTTCATGCCACTGTTTGCTCTCACCATTTACTGGCAATGGTCTATCAAGGGACGTACAAATCATGGTCACACATCTACAGAATTCAGCTTTTTTGATAGTTCATTATTGAAGGAAAAAATATTATCTAAAGACCATAAATGAGAGACCAATGGTGAGAGCAACCATTGGGCAGTGGCATAATTGGCCTGCCATATTTAAGTCCAACTTAAAGTCGATCTTAGTCTTTGTCAAACACCCCCCTGGCCTGCCCACATCAGACCCTTGCACCAAAGAAGATCTGTAAGCATTGACCCCCCCCCCTCCCCCTCCCTGCGCAATATAATGCATCCAATAGGGACTTTTAGATTTGCGTGGACTGATACGTGTGACGTCCATTCAAGGCAGTGCATTAAAAGGACGTCGATCGTAGCAATCCCCATTGTCTTCGTGCGAATCTAAAAGTCCCTAATACTGGATTGGGACAATCTAATCAAGAGTGAACGGTGTGGCGTAGTGACTTGATCAGAAGAAGAAGCTCTCTTATATCATGTCCATTTGTAATAATGCATTCATTGTTTCTATTGCTGAACTGTATTTGGATAGATTGTATTGATCAATGATTGTGTATGTTTAAAAATGATTTAGCAGACAATCAATTAAATTATGAGTCAGTTGAAGTAAATTAATCAACCAATCAAATCATATCACATCAAACATTGCCCTCTTATACCATGCCTTATTCACAATATGCATTCACCGGTTCTGTGCCCGTACTGAAAGATAATGTGCCTGCAATTCGCATTCTGACAATTATACGCAACAGGTGGATGAAATATTTCGTTTCAAGGCAGTTCACAAAGACACATGCAATAAATTTGTTTACATTACGGAAATGGCATATTGGTCTAGACTCACTGCATGGCTGAGCGTGCAAATTTTTAATTGGGTACAAAGGCACACCTGTAAACTCAAAGTACTGAGTCACGTAATGATCCTTGTATCATTATGGTGAAAAGATGATCACTGAATATAATGTTTGAAAGATGATATAGCAATTAGTCAATAATAATAATAATAGTCACATTTGTATAGCGCTTAATGGTACGTTTTGACGCTTTTTCCATCATAATCTAGATTACCTCCGTCATTGGCTTCAATTGGTAATCTGCACATAATAGCGCACTTGCTCCGCTCCCTGGGAAGTATTCTGGCCAGGTGCCATTTAACAATGATGAATCAATCAAACTATGTAATCAATCAAATCACATCAAACATAGCTCTTTCTCATTTTTACTACGTTTTTAAGCGCTTCACATTATGATTATTATTACCATGGTCATTGGATTCGTTGTTAATCTGCACATGATAGGGCACACGCTCCGTTCCCTGGGGGCTAATTTTATTTTCTTCTGCGGCACAGATTGGGGCTTTTTTTTAAGGGGTCTTGATTTAACCCTAACCCTTACCCTCACCCTAACCCTAAACTTTCCCATAGGCTCAACACGCACCTAATCCCAATCTGTGCCGCAGAAAAAATAACGCCCCCGGGGAGTAATCTGGTCAGGCGCCATCTTACATCAAACATAGCTCTTTCTCATTTGTGTGTAGATTGTTGAGCGAGCACGTACAGAAGGTAAACGGGTGAAGGTATGTGGTAGCAAGCACTCCCTGTCAGACATTGCATGTACGACCGGATACATGATCAACATGAAACACATCAACAAAGTGATATCGGTAAGCAGCAAAGAAAGGTCCCTGTCAATTCTCTTCTATTCTCTCCAAAGAAATAATTTTTGTTCTATAAATTCAAACTTTATGTGAAAGAAAACAACATAATATTAGCGTCCCTGCCCGCTTCTATTTTGAGGCCATCTGGAAAAATAGCTCGGCCGGAGGTCTTGGAAAATGTGCCGCGCATCCATTTTGAGAAAGAAAACCAAAAAAAAAGGGCCTCCTTTCCTTTGTTTTCTCAAAAATGCAGGACGCTAAACATTTTATTTGGCCTTGAGGAAAATTGGAGTCCCTTTTTTTTCTAGTCTGGGAGAAATCAGGTTATTTGAGAAAAAATATATAAATCAGCAAGAAATTTAAATTAGTACATGAAGAAGTTGGTCTATTATATCTTGGCCCATGTTCACTCAACAGATAATTCAGTATGATATATTTGAGTAACAAGGTGACGACCATTGCAGAACTGCCAACCAGTACGATTTTTAGAAGTAAATACGACAGTACGATTTTCCTTAATAAAATACGATTAAAAAAAAACGTATAATTTCTTTTTTTAAATATTTTTTTTAAAATAAATGTTGTGTGTGTGTGTGTGTATGTTCCATTTTCAATGGCAAAATGCCCATTCTGTCCTTTAAAGTATCCTACAAGCATCTCACATCGTATGTTCCATTTTCAATGGCAAAATGCCCATTCTGTCCTTTAAAGTATCCTACAAGCATCTCACATCGGCAATTTGGGGACGTTCATTGGTTCATCGAACACAACAGTCGTGACGTAATCATGCATATTCAACCATTGATCCATTGAAAAATTTCTTCCTGTATGTAGGAACGGTAAGAGGCATTGATCCGCGTAACAGTCCGTGTTTATTTTTAAGAATACAACTTTTGGGTTTGAAGAATACAGTTTTTGAACTCCAGAGGTTGGCAGGTCTGCCATTGATCCTGGAATCAATATTCATGTCCACATGGTACTGATAGCTCAAATTAGTAACGGTTATCGACACTGTCTACTCTAATCAACATAGTGTTTTTACATGTAATAACCTACATTTCTCTGTAAAGCTAATCTTGGCTCTGGTATGGGAATCGTATTTTGAGAAGAAAATGGCTAGGATTTATTCTTGATTGTTTATCCTTCAGTAGATTGATTCAAACCTGGGCATCATCTTCAATAAAAACCACAACTCCCATTTGCACATAGTGACTTGTGTTATAATAGCACATGGTGTCGGGCCTACTTCGCTTGATTTCCTTATCTTTCTATGCTCATTACTCAGCCATTATACATTTTCCACCGAATTCGTTTGGCACATGGATGCCATTTATTTGTTATATTGAACATTCAGTATAAGTTCCGTAGGATTCAATGCTTTAAGACTTATTTTTAAACTCATTACACATTTTTTCTTTGAACAACGGTTAGTTTTTTTGTTTTTTTTTTTTTTAAAGCCGACCGTATATTTCAATATTTATTGGTCGGTCGCAAAGGGCAATACAACTTACACTACGAATATGACTGACAAAGAAAGCGGACAAAATATACAGTTCCTCAGGTAGACAAAGAATCATCCCTTCACTGCTATTATGTACAAATGTGTAGAACAAGTGTCACATGCATATTCACCTTTTTACATAATAGCAGTGAAGGGATGTTCCTTTGTCTACCCGAGGAACTGTATATTTTGTCCGCTTTCTTTGTCGTCATGTTCATAGTGTTATTTATGTAACCCCTAAGCATGCTTAGCTCGGCCACTTTTATACGGGTCACTTTCTTTCTGGCTGCTTCCTAACAAGCAACTTTTACATTGTTGTACCTACAGTACATGTATGTTCTATTCTTGTTATGTATAATGTACAGTGTATACTGTATGTATATATATGCTATTTTTTAATTGCTTGGGTGTAAAAGAAATTGAATTGAATGACTTTTCTCCCACAGGTTGATGTTGATAAACATCAGATTCGAGTAGAAGCCGGTGTCCTACTGGAGAAGCTGAATACAGATATTCTTCCAAGCTATGGACTTGCTCTTAGTCTGTAAGTGATATAATGTACATGTACACAAAATTCAATCAGCAACTTTCACACTTATGAAATGCTTGTGAATTTTGCACGTGGTAAGACTGGCAATAGGCCATTTTGTAATGTTATCAAATGTAAAGCACAAATCTTTGTTAAGTGCCTCTTTACAAATGATTTCATTCACCTGTTACAAATAATTGTATTTCAATTTTCAATAGTCAGAATGCGAATGGTATGTACAACATGTGTTGTTAGGTAGGACAAGCCATAATGTTTGTCCTACCTAGCAACAACTAATGTATGCAATTCGCATTCTGACGAAAACAAGTTCGCTTTATACATCCCAGTAGTACATATGTGATAAAACTCAAACACGCTTCAATAGGATGATGCTAAACCTAAATTTATGACGGTGTCATGAAACAATGCCCAGCATATTGCACTTCATTATAGGGGGTGTTTAATAAGCCAGTTCACGGTTGCAGTCTGAGCATGAGCAGATAAAGGTCATTGCAGAACAAATTTTGAAATACACGGAGACGTAATACTGGATGCGTGCTCATGAAAGTTATGTGATCATTATTCATTCATGCACATTCAGTGCACTCCATGATACACAGGTGGAAGTATTCTTTGAAAAGGGGAAAACAAAGGCTATCTATATATCGCTGTAGCAGTGATTATTTCAAAATGTACAAAGTGGGACGTCTTCATGTTTTGAAGATCTGTGGATATTCGGGGTCATTGCAGTAATGTGCTCAGCGTGAACTGGTCTATTGCGCATCATCGTCAGATCCCTTGCCCTGTAGCATGTTATGGGCGGCCAAAAGGGCCAAAATTAACATTCTCAAAAACAAACAAAGATGCATACAAACAAACAAAGAAGCATACAAACAAACAGAGGTCAGAGCAATCTTTGTTTGTTTTTGTGAATTTTAATTTTGGCCCTTTTGACCGCCCATAGCATATACAGTAACAATCAGTAGTTTTAACCCAAATTTATTTGTACTTCCTTCAATCAATCTTTTCAATCAGTCATAAACTGGCAATTGGTTTTATTTTCAAGAAAGATACAATTAGTTTTTAAATACAATCATTTGTCGCAAAGATATACATACAGGGTTAGATTTTAACAATACATTTATTTTACATGTAAGTCTGTTTTTACTTTGCATTGTACATGACCAGCATGAAGATTCAATACAACTTGATTACTATACGGACAAACACTTACAAAATACAGTTTTTACCCAAGGACTATCCAAGTATGGAACAAATCGTTTTGGTTTTCTTCTTTCTTATCTGTTTTGAGCTCGTTTTTGTTCCTGGGCATGTTATATCTTTTCTGTTTGTTTCCAAGTCTTTGTTTTGAAGTTCAAAGTAATGAGAAGAAAAAAAAATAATGATAATAAATTCGTCGCTGTTTTCACGAAGTGACGGTAGTGAAAAAAAAATTGCATTCACTTTGCGTTACGATTTTCCTCGCTACCGTCACTTCGTGAAAACAAGGACGAATTGTTTGTCTTACACGAGATGTGACGTTCAAAATGCTTGACGAGATACCGAATATTCTACCAAGAATTAACGGAAATGTGGACAACCCCCCCCCCCCAAATTACCTTTCCCATTTCGTAGTATTGCTCTAAGAGTTCCTATTTACTTTTTTTCTTCTTTTTCCTGCATCCCACAGACTTGCAGCTATCTCCGAGCAAACAATAGCTGGCGCTATTTCAACCGGTACCCACGGGACGGGGTACAATCACGGTATCATGGCAACAGCGGTAAACAATGAAAAAAACACTTATAGGTTTCCAGGCACAATTGATTTCCAGAATCATACATGTCCCCTAAATTATTAAATTATGTTTATGTATATTGAATTGTTCTTAGGCATGTTAAGATTTGTATTGAATGGTGTGGTGATAATGTCATTCATTGTAAGATTATTATTATAAGGAAAAGGTTGTGTTTTTTTTTTTTTTAGGGAGGATAGGAAAAATGTTATAGACTTTATCATATTGTGAAATTGTAATTTTGCTTTTGATGACAACGAAAGAAAATTGGAGCTGCACTGTATATCAATGGTTATCCTTTGACTAAAGCTTGTGTGATGAAAGGAGTACCATATATATGCTCACCATTTGATTAGAATGTTGGAGATGGAAACAAATATGAAAATGAGGCATAATTCCTTAATTTCCTTTATCAAGTAACATTGTATCTTTACAAGAATTCTTGAAGCAATGTTTCGGTTCAGTACAGTTCATTTATTCATTTCATTTTCATAAAAAACACAGCAAAAGCAAGTAAACAAAGAAGTACATATATACATACTAAAGCACAAAATGTTCACTTTATACACAATAAATGCAATGGAATAGGAGAACAAAGGAAAATCCCATGGTGGCCTTGTTTATAAAAGTTTCCCTGAATATTATAATTTATATTACTAAGTATATTTTAGTTAAAGATAACACAAAAGACAGCGATAAACACAATATCAAGACAAACAATGACAAAAACATGTGTGAATTAATGTAAAAGTGGAGGGGGTAAAAAGGTTTGGAAGGTAACTTCAATGGTACTCGGAACACAAGGTCAATATCAACTGTTTTTATGCAAGCGTATGACTTGTGGTTAAGTGTTCCATATGTTTGGCAAAGTGTTTCTTACAGATGTTTTTAGAGAATGAACTTTTCACTTTCCATATTGTGGAACATGTTGCGAAGCCAAGTATTATGAGAATTAATTTGGTTATTGACCAAGAATGTGGAGGATATTCTTTTTGGAAGTATATTTACAAAAAATTGAAAACCAATTAGTGCATTATGGTATTTGAATACATTAAAAACCTAAAGTTTTTATACTAAGAAATAAAGGAGCAGAATGGGCATAATAATCACTACCTGTACAAATATATAGAGCCTTCTTTTGTAATTTGAAGAGGGTGTTAATATACCCATGACACGACTTTTCCCCAAATAGTAATACAATATGTCAGATAAGGTAAAGTGAGTTGTACAAAGTAAATACAATAGGAACCAGAAATTTCAATTTATATAAAACACCAGTACATTTTGATACCTTTTTTTATAACATTATCGATGTGGGAATCCCAACAAAGGTCGTTATCTACGAATACTCCAAGGAAATTATTAAAACATTTAATTTGTATATACCGGTAGGTGTAGAATCAATACTTCGGGGTTACCTTATCTAGTACATCGGACACATTTGTACTCTTATTGTGAAACATACAAAAGTTTGTTTTAGAAAGATTTACTATCAATTTATTAGCTTTGAACCAAGTTGATACCTTGTATTATTCTTTGTTGACCTCATGCTCAACATAATTTAAATCAGGTTGTGAAAATAAGAGTTGTGTCATCTGCATACATAATATACTGCATGATATGAGACGGTTGAGTTAAGTAATTAATATATATAAAACAGTAATGGGCCAATTATAGATCCTGGGGAACTCTGTGTGTTATGTCTGCAAAATTAAAAACATGATTATTATACATAGTAAATTGACGTCGATGCATAAATAACCTTTTTTTAAATGAAGAAGGTTTCCATGTACACCATAAAAGTTCAATTTGGATAAGAGAATTACTACATCAAATGCTTTTGATAAATCCATAAATATTCCAAAGCCAAAAGTCATTGTTTTCCATTGATAATGTCACTTTATCCTGCAAATCAGTCAAAGCATGGTTGTGGAATAATTACGTCGAAATCCAAATTGGTAAAGTAGATTGTTGTAGAAATTAGATAACTCTTTGTATGTCATCCAACAAAACCTTAGCTTTAAAATTTTCTCATTAAATTTTAATGAAAGAGCAAACATTTTACTTGACCGTAATTACCAGTAAAACATTTTTCTAAAATGTTACTGGCCCGGGGCCGACGGGCCAGTGGTAGTGTCGAGTTTCTGATTTGTTTAGGATACTCAGTTTGTTTGTTTCAAGAGGTTGGCTTCTCTGCTAATCAGTTAATGAAAAGTCCCCTTCAAGCTGTCTTACAAGTAATACACCTCATTTTCTTCTGCTCGTCAGATTGTCAGCTTGGAGCTGTTGACTGGAAGCGGAGAGGTCCTGCAGTGTTCAGACTCTGAGAACCCAGACGTTTTCAACGCTGCATTATGCGGGTTAGGAGCACTTGGTATTATTCTCACAGTAACTATCCAGTGTGAACCCGCCTTCAGGCTTCATGAGATTCAGACTTCTACTACATTGGATGATGTAAGTTATGATGATGAGGATGATGTTGATGATTGTGATGTAAGTAGTTATGATGATGATGGTGACAATGATGGTTATGGTGATGATTGTGATGTAGGTAGTTATGAGGATGATGGTGACAATGATGGTGATGATGATGATTGTGATGTTAGTAGTTATGATGATGGGGATTATGATGATTATGATGATGGTGATGATGATCAAGATGTTCAAATGATGATAGTGGCGGGATGGATCGTGTTGGCCACAGTATTGATGATGAAGATTGTGATGTAGGTAGTTATGATGATGATGGTGACGGTGATGGTTAGGCCTAAACAAAAAAGATGTTGTATTGCCCAAAACATGGCTCGGTCGGTCGGAAATCTTTTTTTTTTTCTTCTCCCTCTTTGGGCTGATATTTATCCGAATATGCATGCGACACCTGTTCTACACATTTTTACATAATAGCAGTGAAGGGATGTTCCTTTGTCTACCTGAGGAACTGTATATTTTGTCCGCTTTCTTTGTCAGTCATGTTCATAGTGTGATGATGGTAATAGTTAAGGGGATGATGGTGTTGATTATGGTGGTGGTGGCAATGATGGTGATAATGGTGATTATGGTGATGATGATAATGGTGATTATGGTGATGATGATAATGTTGATGGTGATCACGATGGCTGTGATGGCGATTTAATGATATGGATAGTGGTAGTGGTGCAGGTGATGATGCTGATTGTTATAGCGACGATTAAGAATGATGATGATAATGTTCCTAATGGTTATGGGGATAAGGAAAATTGAGGAGGAGGATTTTGATGATGATGATGAAAGCTGTAATGATGATGAAAATGGTAATCGTGATGGTGATGACAGCTATGGTGATGATGTTGGTGATAATGATGATGGTGAGAGGAAGTGGAGAATTTTGACGATTATAATCTTTATTTGGAGTAGAAAGATATATGAAGGGTTTCCTTATTGGTGTTACCACTGCGACATATAAAATACACGTAGTGTTGATAATTGGTGCTATTTTTCTGATAATTCCTTTAAACAGGTCCTAGATAATTTGGATTCCAACGTGGAGGGCTGTGAGCATTTCCGTTTTCAGTGGTATCCCCATACCGATATGGTATCACTGTCAAAGGTAAACCGAACTGAGAAGACAATCACAGAAACAAGATCGTCATGGTTTTGGGACAAGTTCGTGGGTTACTACGCTCTTGAGTTCTCGTTTTGGCTCAGGTAATTTATTAAAAGTTACGATTCTCTTTCTAGTTCCTATATATATATATAGATTGCGGCATTCTTTGTTGTCCTACAACTCTTAGGCCTTATTCCCACATGAAACTCGACGCTTAAAAAGAAGATGATCTGAGGTATAAGTTTTCAGATCAGTTTTTTATTAATATTTCATCTAAATCCCAATTTACTTAACTTTCTAAAGCCTTTAGCAGATGTGTGTAAACTTTCGCTGATCTCATCGTTGCATTTTTGTATTATAAGTTGAGGACAAGGCCATTGTTTTGCTCGAAACAATTCTTCCGTCAATAGGCTATTTTTCGTAATGTAACCAAGTTTAATGCATAAGTCTTTGTAAAGTGCCTCAATATAAATTATTTTATTCACCTGATAAGAATAATAGTATTTCAATAGACAGAATCCGAACTGCATACATTAGTTGTTGCCAGGTTGGACATACATTATGGCTTGACCTACCTAGCAACACTTAATATATGCAGTTGCATTCTGACTATTGAAATACTATTATTCCTATGAGGTGAATGAAATAATTTATGCATTAAATTTGGTTACATTACGAAACTGGCCCATTGGTGCCAATTCCCACTTCAAAGCAAAATAAAATAAACGTAGTGCGATTCACATTTCTGTGTCATAACACAAAGGTCACCGGGCATGTTAAATTGACTCGGTAACATTGTTGAAGGTTGATGAAACTCAAAAACTGCCTAATTTTTGTATCAAATGTTACTTATTATATTCCTTCCACTGTACTGATCCTCTAACATGCCAAAAATCCTGAAAATTCTCAAACCACAAAGATATTTATGGTTTTCTTTGAAGTGTAACTCCCTCTGACAGAAAATTCTCCTAACCAATTTATTTTGAATTATCCCAACCGTTTTTCCATGAAAATTAAGACATAAAACAGGCCTTTAAAATCTTCAACACTTAAATGTTTCGAATGATAGATAGAGCCAATCTATTGCTTTGTGACGATTTACATTCGCCTAAAATTATAAAAACATAGCTGGGAGAATTTACGAATCGATCAGATCATTTTTTCCCAAATCATTATCATTAATAATGGTCTGATTCACTCATAATTTCAGATTATCTTTAATTGTACATCTAGCATTGAAGTCACTACCTTAGCACCATTTTCTGTCATCTGAACAATGTTATCTAGTCCCTTCAAAGACTCATGGGTACACACAGTTATTTATTTTGTGTACACCTTCACAAAAGTGCCTCATGTTATTAATTGACTCATATTCTACAGCAGGTTTTTTTGTCAATCTGTTTGTTCTTGTTTTCGATGGTTTTCACTGCATCGTGTCCACACAGGGCTATATTGATCTAATCTTGATCATGCCAATAAAGATGATTAATTTCTTTCCCTTTTTTTCATTTCTTTTTGTCTTCAATTCGGTTTGTTCATACCTTCCCTTGTCCCATGGATCAACAAATTGTATTTCTTAATCTTTGCATCACCAATAATTTGCTTTGCCCAAAAATATGATTTATTTCTTTCTTTTTCATTCATTTTTTTTTTTTCTCATTTCAGTTTGTTTGTACCTTCTCTTGTTCCATGGATCAACAAATTATTTTTCTTAATCTTTGCATCACTACCGAAAGAAAGAGTTGACATCAGTCACAAGGTGTTCAACTTTGAATGTCTTTTCAAGTCACACGTGACAGATTGGGCTATTCCAAGGTAATCTTTTTGATCGTTCAGTTTTCTATTTGTAAATTGAAAACACCAATATTTTTTTTTATATCCTGCATTAAAAAAAATTGTTTTTAATTAGTTGAGAGCTCGTCACGTGCCAAGAACAATTTGAACTATTTTAAGGTTACTTTGAAAAAGTACTATTTGGGAGTACTATTTGGGAGGAGAAGTACTATGAGAGCACTATTTGGGAGTTGACATTTTTTGAGGATTTAGAACAAATATTATTTATTGAGTGATTAATCAATTTATTGGTTCATTTATGGATTAATTGAATAATTGATTCATTGATTGAATTATTTATTTTCCAATTCATGTATTCTTAAAGGTAAAGCCCAGTATTGGAAACGCCCCAATTTCAAAAAAATGAAATGGAAGCTCTTTTTACCAAGCATGTGAAAGAATATGTTTTGAATAATACATGATGATAAAAAAATTACCGGGAAACCGCCTACTAATTGATAAATTTGGTAAATTAGTTTATCTCTCACAGTGTGAGAGATAAAAAAGGCACGTGTCGCGCACGTGTGCGTAGTCCCATATACATCTTTCTGTGTACAGTGCTTGTAACTTTATGAACACTGAGCCAAATTTCTTATAATTTTGATGATTCCAGAACCTTGCAGTACATCTATGCTAGATGATCAACCTTTTCTGATCGATTTCACGTTTCTTTCACAATGCAATCGCATGACCATAACTGGTCCTTATCTTTAATGTTAAATTTGTTAGTTTCTTTTTGTTTTTTTTTTGAGGGGGAGGGACTGTTTAGTCAAAGCATGTGATTGACTAGAGGATGAATTGGCTGATAGTTTTCTTTGGATTGCATGTAGACCAAATAGAATGCCCATTTAAAGGTACTATTTGCAGCCAACATAAATTCTGTATCATTATGATTGAAGCGTGAGCTAAATCAAGGATTTTGTTTCGAATCTGAGACAAAAGTACCCAATCCCTTTTATAATTGCACCCCAGAAACAAGACGGGGGAGGTTCTGAGGGAGCTGAGGCATCACGTCAATACGGGACGATTCTATGCTCACTTGTCCACAGAGGTCCGATTCACCAAGGCTGATGACATCATGATCAGTCCAGCCAATGGGAGAGAGACCTGCTACATCAACATCATTCATTTTAAGTATGCAACGTTTTATCCCTTTTGCGACAATTAATCATTCCACATTTTGTGGTTTGGCTCAGAGCTCCCCCCCCCCCCACCATGAGGTCAAGGTCAAAGGTCATGGGGCTCATTATGTATGCAAAAATAGCTTGTGATCGCATTATTATTAGAACCGATGGGTGGATTACCATCAAACTCAAGACATGTACATGTACATGTATGTATCTTGCAGAGCCAATGAACGGAGTAGATTTTGGGGTCATGAGGTCAAAGATGAAAGGGTCATACATGTATATGAGAAAAAGCTTGTAATCACGATATTCTGAGAACCTGTTAATGGATTCCAATTGAACTTGAATTTGAAAATTTTCTTCTGTTTTGGTGTGTAAAATTGCTCTATGACGGAGTTTTCTTCTTCTTCCAGACCTTATGGAAGACCAACATTCAACAAGAAATACTGGGATGTGTATGAGGACATTGTAAAGAGAGCAGGCGGTCGACCACATTGGGCTAAGGTAAGAACAAAGGCTTCATGAAAATCGTTATCAATAACACGATTTTGAAATAAATAGCAAGGTACGATAGATCTTTAATAGAAGCTACTGAAATTGGGGCATCAGATTGGCTGAGAGCAAATTTGTCATACAATTTTACCATTTGTTATATTTTTATGAAACAGGGCCCTGATATAGTATACAAATATTGACTGCTTTTGAGGGAAGCACTTTTTGGAACAACAGTTAAAACTGTTACCCAAGGTGATCTCAAAACTGTAGGGTGACCCGAGCCGAAGCAGAGGAGCAAAGTGCAGTCTTGAGATCACCGAGAACTATAGTTTTAAATGTGACCCCCAAAATGATCAGTCAATATTTGTTTGATATACTGTATCCCACATTTTAACTCGTAAGAATAAATTGTAATCAGAAATGGCTGTCGAAATGTGCATTTGTAGGAAATGTACTCGTTTAACCCTATATAGCAGGGGGGGGGGGTTAAGTTCCCCTCTACATTTTTCGCAATATTTTGTTAACGCACAATGATCTTGCGCTGAAATGTTTTGTTTTTCTTTCGAGTCTTGCGCATCTTTTGAAACAATTTTTTTCTCGGAAATCAGACCTACCGTTACAAAGTCACAATGTCAGTTACAATGTCAGTCCGAAAATCGCTCATTTTCGTGACTTGTGTACAAAACTATCAAAAATATAATTTTCCCCAAAAATATTGTCTTCATATGATGCACATAATCCTAGCTTTGTCGACAAACCTCCTTTGTGAATTCAGGCCGGAAGGTCTAGGTATACATGTATATAAAAAAAATATTGAGATGATCAGCATGTATGTTCTTTTTTTAAAATTTTTATTGCAGGAACACCCTATGAGGAACAAGGATTTATCAGAGCTCTATCCAAGATGGTCCGAGTTCTGTGGTCTGCGTAAGAAGCTGGATCCTTACGGCATGTTCCTGAACACGTATCTGGAGCGGGTCTTATCAGACTAATATGGTCCTGAGTTATATGAAGCAGGGTAGTTCATAAACAAACAAATAATGAACATATGAACCTGAAACTTGGAAGGGCTATTGGAAAATTCCTTCTACTCATTTTCACATTTTGTTTAAAGGCACACTGTCCAACTTGTAGCTCCTTGCTCCCTCTATATAGAAAACTTCCCCAATCGGTGCCTGTTGGTCCCCCATGATCCTCTTCTTCTTACGTTAAATGAGAGCTGAGTTAATGAGATAGCCACCTGTCACAGTGACCTCGCTGGCTCGCTGGGTGGTCTAATCCCTTTTGGCTGAAGTAGTAAACCCTGCCTTTAAATTCATTTAACATAATGGTCATGATTTGTATATTTTAAACTGTCTGTATTTTATCACATGTATATATTTGTTCGCTTTTTAACTAAAATAAAGTCTTTTGAATTGAATTGGAACAAGGATTTATGAGAACGTTACCCAAGATGGTCTGCAAAAGAGGTTTGGTCCTTGCAGCATGTTCCTCAACACGTATCTGGAGCGGGTCTTTTCAGACTAACATGGTCGCGAATCATATGAAGCAGGGTTGTCCATAAACAAACAAATAATGAATATTTGAATCTGAAACTTGGAAGGACAATGAGGATTTATCAGAACGCTACCCAAGATGGTCTGGGTTATGCGGTCTGCGACTAATATGATTGTGAGTTATATAAAACGGGGTAGTACATAAACAAACAAAAATTGAAACATATGAACGTGGAACTTGGAAGGACAATGAGGAACAAGGATTTATCAGAACGCTACCCAAGATGGTCTGGGTTATGTGGTCTGCTACTAATTATTGTGAGTTATATGAAACGGGGTAGTCCATAAACAAACAAAAATTGAAACATATGAACCTGGAACTTGGAAGGACAATGAGGAACATAGATTTATCAAAACGCTACCCAAGATGGTCTGGGTTATGTGGTCTGCGACTAATATGATTGTGAGTTATATGAAACGGGGTAGTCCATAAACAAACAAAAATTGAAACATATGAACCTGGAACTTGGAAGGACAATGAGAAACATAGATTTTTCAGAACGCTACCCAAGATGGTCTGGGTTATGCGGTCTGCGACTAATATGATTGTGAGTTATATGAAACGGGGTAGTCCATAAACAAACAAAAATTGAAAAATATGAACCTGGAACTTGGAAGGACAATGAGGAACACAGATTTATCGGAACGCTACCCAAGATGGTCTGGGTTATGTGGTCTGCGACTAATATGATTGTGAGTTAAATGAAACGGGGTAGTCCATAAACAAACAAATAATGAATATTTGAATCTGAAACTTGGAAGGGTTATGAGGAACAAGGATTTATCAGAACGCTACCCAAGATGGTCTGGGTTATGTGGTCTGCGACTAATACGATTGTGAGTTATATAAAACAGGGTAGCCCATGAACAAACAGGGTATATTACGAGGTGTGCCAAAAACCTTAGACAAGTTTAGAGGAGTCTGCAGTGGTTCGGTGTAATATCATTGTTATTATTCCAATATCATGAGAATCTTTTTTGCACAATCTTAGGTTATATTCTTAATGGTAAGATATCATTTTGTACTGGTGGCTCTTTTATAGAGTGTATTGCTACTATACCAGTTTGTCTACTTTACAATTGGGCTATTTACATATGGTCTACACCCATAGGTCTAATAATCATTTAATCATGAATGATTATAACATGAATATGTTGTGCAGTGCCAGGAGTGCCTAGACTGACAGATATGAGCGCCATGATTATTATTATTATTACATGTGCATAGATGTAATGCTTGCTTGGCTCTCAATCAAATTTACTTTCCGATGTATTCTGATTTTTTTTTTTTGTAATTGTATAATTTTTTACTATATTTAATGCTATTAAGTATTTTGGTCATTGCGATTAATGTGCAAATTAAAATCAGGTTATACTTACTGATTATAAGTGCACTTTTGGGGTATTTCTATATGAAGACAATATTTATCATAGTATGTAATCATTATGACAATCGTGTAAATGTTCATGTTTTATCCTCTGTAGAGGTTTTGATTCAATGTTTTCCTTTTTGTAATATTTGAGTAATTGAGTTACAGAATTTTGGGTATTGTCTAAAAGTAGTTAAATTTTATTGAGCATGATGTTTACCTTCTGAATTTAGAATATGCAATGATTTCATCCTCAGAAACTTGGTTTGATCAAAGTGATGTTATTATGATTGTAAAGATGCACTTTCTTATGCAATGTCACATGGTACATTGTGGTACTAGCAGTTGTATGTTTCTAACTATGGTTCAGTACCATGGCTGTATTGTTGTATCATGGTACATGCATTTTTCTCCTTTTGTTAGCAATTAATTTAAATATCCATCATGGGGGAAAAAATATGTTTTGTTTCTTTGATTGATTTTATTTCTGTGTTCAAATAACAAATACGAGGTTATACATGTCTACTTAAGTATTACATAGATAGCAAATCATGCCTAATAATATTATACAATAACCATTGTTAGTATACAATTGGTGCGCAGGTAAATGTGGGTCGGTAGGAATCGTTTGTAAGGTAACTTTGGTCATGGTCTAAACACACTAGGCGTAGCCGAGTTTGTTTTAGACCTGCCCAAAGTTACCGCGTAGACTAAAAAGTGATCAGGACAAAAATATGAAGGGGTCGAAAGCTCATAACTTCTTAGTCAGGATGTAGTTGTATTTGATTTTGGCAAAGAGAGCTTCCTGAAACACGTATAGCGGACAAGTAGCCTAACGCTGATATTAATAGTCAAGAAGTTAGACTTGTCACGGTTTCGAGAAACTGGCCCCAGGTTCCTCTGCGTCCATTAACAATATTTTGTTATCACGGCCATGCATCATCGGAATCGTCGTCGGAATCGTCGTCAGAACAGCTGCGGCACTTGTGCGAGATTTTTAGGAACATCTCCTCGATATTACGATACGTGATCGCCCAAATGAAGCCTTCCAGAGGCATCACGAGGCTAAATATAGTCAATATTCCATGCACGTCTTTCAAGGTCTCTTCGTTCCCGGCGAGGTACGTCTCTGAGAGCTGGCTGGCGATGTAGACATTCGGCATACCGACGGCGAGCGAGACCGCGCAGCAGACATTGAACGGGAGACTAGCGAAGAGAGCAAAGACGATCCCGCATACAAAGCCGATCGGTGGTAACGATATGGTTCCGACCCAGATGCGCCAGTCAACCATGTAATATTCGGGGTTGGTGATGCCATTTAGGACAGGGGTGATGACGGCGGCGATCCAGAAGGCATTGCTGCAGATCTGAGAGAAAGAAGATGGGGAGGTGCAAGAAAGAGAGAAAGAGAGAGAGAAAAAATAACGGTGAGACATTGGAATCCAGAGATTGATAGATAGATAGAGAGAGACGGATCGAGACAGAGAGAGAGAGAGAGCAAAAAAAGAGATAGAGAAAGACTAGTATACAATTTCAGAGACGGATCGAAGGCCTAAATCGCTTTGAACTGTAAGAATAAAAGGTGCTCTGTGAAATACCTTTTCGGCTAGATATTGGGGAGAGGAAATGCAATGGGTAATATAGATGGGTATATGCAGGAAATACGGGGAGATAGCAATTAGGATGACGAATAATCACCGTAGCGTTTTCCGTCAAAAGGAAAGAGACAAAAATAGTTTCCCCGTCCTAAAATCAACGATATGATAGCCTAAAAGAGCTTATGCTGAACATCAGGGAGTCGGACGTTTTTGGAGGACAACAGAATGTCCTCCGTTATACGCATCAGTGAACGTGCATGACCTTTTGGCCAAACGGCACGATGCATTGCTGTGAAAAGGGTCTACGGACGAGACCTGGGGAGTGTTTCACAAAGAGTAAGATCGACTTTAAGTTGGACTTAACTATGTCAGGCCATTTATGCCACTGGTTACTCTCACCATTGGTCTCTCAATTATGATATTTAGACGATATTTTTTCCTTCAATAATGAAAAATAAAAAAAAAGCTAAATTCTGAAGGTTTGTGACCACAATTTGTAAATCCCCGAAAAACCAATGCCAGGAATGGTTAGATAAACTATTGGCATGAACGGCCTGCCATAATTAAGTCCAACTTACAGTCGATCTGAGTCTTTTTACTATGAAGGTCCCTTGTTGTAATGCCCGTGATAAGTAGGCCTATGTAAGTCTATAAAATGATTAATGTGCATGCAATAGGTTCATTCTACCTTCAGATTAGTGGAACTATTAAAGTTACAGTATTAGAAGGACATTTACACTAATGTTCTTCTCTTTAAAAAAGAAAACAAAATTGCCTATTTCTGACCATTTTGGGACGCCGATAAAAAAAGAGAAAATGTTCTTGTTGAAACAATTAATATAAAACCCAAACTGGCTACTTTTTGAAGAATACTTAGCGACATGACTGTTTGCGATTACTTACCGAATTTAGGTGAAGAAAAAAGATCATGAGGCAAGTTCAGTAACGGGTGACGAATAGATCACACCATTATTTCTGAAGGTCCTTAATAACCAAAGGTTCTTGAAAATTTGGAACACGTTCAACATATTTTCTTCGTTAGTTCGGCGAACGTTAGATGAAGAATGGCGTATTGAATTTCAATAAAATATATTGGTGATTCCAGCAATTCGCTGCTTTCGCCCACTGTTCCTATTGCAATGAGATGCCCTTTTAAAAAACGGTTGTATACCCCCCTGTCCCCTTCTTCATAAGCTTTAAGTGTGACTAAAAGCAAGTTCAGGTTCTGTCCGTTTTTATATATGTGTTATTCTTCAATCATGTCTGTCCTTCCTTATTTACACGCATCCAAAACAGATCGCGCGATCCCCCAAAATACACCCGAGTGTGAGAATAAAAGGCAATTAAGGACTGTGCCCGTTTTAGCGTTGAGGGTGTGTTATTTTCTCAGCTGATCCCAATTGGGGCGCGCGACCCGGAAACAGTCCATGCATGCAAATGTACTAGGTTCACGTACAAGCCTACCTTGGCCATTAGCCTTCCTTTGAGTTTCCCGTAAGCCTTCTGGTACAGCACACCCAGGACAGTAGGAATGATTATCAACAACTCGGTCATGACAATGTTGAAGGGTATGGCGACGACGAAATACTCATGTGTCCAGTTACTGGCATAGGAGGAGAACCACAACGGGATGAGTCCGACGGAGA